AAAGTTCCTTAAATTGTTTTGGCACACAAAACTTTCCAATTCTACCTGACGTTGACTTTCCTGGAACGCACCTATGAATATTTCATTACGCGGATTACATCATCGTCCAAGTGATAAATGCCTTAAAAAAAAAAAAGAGAAAAAAAAACAATTGTCCACATTGTCCACAATTTAAGGCCCAGTCAAGCATATACTAACAAGCCGTTTTTTAATTCATATTTCGTGATTGTTTTCCGTCGAATTGAAAATACTCACGCTCGCTTTATTTGACTCGATGCGATCGTATGCAAATGAATGTTTAATTTCGCATCAGAATGCTTACGATAATCTACGCTAATTTAATGCAATTTTCGATAATTTATTTTCGAGTTCAACGGGACCTATATCTTTATATTGTTAATAACTCGCGCAGCAGTCAATGAACTATAGTAGATTCCTATTTATAATATTTAATTTATGCTTCATGTGTTTACCCACTAAAAGCCTAGACAAAGGGTATTTTAAAGTTGTGCAAATCGTGCGGATGTCATGTAAAGATCCAAAGATCTGGACAGACTACAGACTCCGAATTTGGCATGTAGGCGGAATTTCGTTTTTTAGGCCAAATCTTAAGCACATTTGCTTTATCTGAGCCGTAAATTTACCGATGTAAAACGTGGAAATACCCAAAAATGGTGGCCCAATATAAATAAATTAATAATTAGTAAAGAAACTTAAACTTTGCCGCTTAGAGGGTAGCTCTTAGTTGTGTGCTCTTGGCAACAAGCGTCTTGCTGTGATTTGAGCAAATTTCGAATTCCAATCAATTTTTAACCAGTTTTTTTTTTCTTTTGGCTGCTTCGTTGTGAAAGGCGTTCCATTGTTGTTTTTCTTATGATTTTTGTCGGTTGTCATCGATTTGGTCTATAAATGTCGCAGTAAATAGATATTAAATTAATTGGAATAAATCTCAGCTAAGTATCTAGGCCGAAATGTATGTACGATTTAAGCGAAACACATAAACCTTCGTCTAATTGCCCTTTGTTTAAGATACAGTTCATATGTATCTCATGGATACACGTGCCAGTTGTCAGGGCTAGCTGGAAAGATGTTTAGATGCTCATTTAATTACCATTTCAAATCCATTTCAACCACTTGTCATGTGCGCTGCCATTTGGCAGCAAAACACTCTAGATAATTGCAATTGTAGGCCAAATAACCGAACAACCTTTGACTGAGCCCATTCATTGACCCGGCCCGTCGAGCACTGTCAACACTTGGCAACTACCAAGTTGTTGCCATACAAAAATCAATGGGAAATCGAAAACGCGAGCTGCTTAAACAACCCCAACCCCCAGCCAACAAGCATCCCCTACCCAGTACGACACCCAATAATGCCTGGCTCAGAACGCACGTGACACCTTTTGCTGGCCAAGAATTGAGGCGAGGCCCAGCTCCTCACTTACACTCCCACACACACGCACACACACACACACACACACACGCATAATACGAGCAGCCACAACAAAAACTGAAACTACAACAACAATTACGACGAGCCACGCGTCTTTCAGGCGTCATTCATGGCGTGTTGTTTGCACATTAAACGCGTTTTGTTTTAGCCTTTTTTTTTCATTTTCTGGCAGGGCTGGCAGCAAGTGCCTAACGCTGTGCTGGCGCAGTGCTGCCAGCTGATGAAAAGCTAAAAAATAAAACAGCCAACTCCAGCAGACAGGAAACAACTAAATTTTACTTTAAAAAAATACCAATAAATATGTTTATAATTGGTATTTCACAAATATTTTTGGGTTTTTTGTAATAAGTATATATAATTACATAGCATGCAATTTTTTTTAGAAATTAACAGAGAATTGAAAAGTAAAAAAAAAGTGAACGAATTGCTAGCTAGAATTCACGCTGCGCGCAAACGGCCACACATGGCGGGGCGGGGGGCGGAAAAAGCTTAGCTGGCAACACTGTGTGTGAGTCACACCAACACCAACACCAGCACGGATCCAGGCGCGCTCTCGATAGAGCCCGATTTTCATTCAAGAAATTCGCTGCGCGACTCTGCGCAAAAGCGGACCGCAAAAAAAAAAAGCGAAGCAGAGACCAAAGAGAAACCCTAGCAAGCCGCTGGGCTGAGGGCGCAGGCTTTCATTGGAGCAGGAGTGCGGGCGGCGGGGAATTGGCCGTGGCTGTTACAGCAGAGAGTCGTCATCACGTGATTGTGTCTGTATGTGTGTGTGTGTGCGTGTGCATGTGTGTGTGTGTGTGTGTGTGTGTGACAACGTGGCGCCGGTTAAGCGGCATGTTGCCGTCTGAATTCGGCGCCCTGGAAACTCAATTCGTTGCGGGCTCGGCTTCTGTTTTGCTTTAGGGTTCGCTATGCTTGTTTTTTTTTTGTGCTTTCTGTTTTTTTTTTTTTGGGTGTCGCTTTACATGCTCGTGTGCATTGTTGCTTCATGCTTTGGCTTTTGTGTGGGCTTACATGAAGCACACGGCAACAACAGCAAAAACAACAACAAGCGCGCTGTAAAATCAGGTCAATGAAATAGCAATGTTTGGCACGGCTTTAAAGCGTCGCTGGCATCGCGTTTCGCTGCCTCTTCTTCTGGCCGTGCGAAGGTGAATCTGAGCCGCAGTGGGTCGCCTCCTATTCGTGGTGTCATTTGCTGCGCTTTCAAATCGGGCAAAGCCATTGCCACCCACTCGCACCAAAAACCCAAAGACAAAGACAAGCTGGGGGGGTTGCTTTTTTTTTTGCTTGTTTATTTTTTAGCCCGGTTGACAGCATTTTCCGCTTGCGCGCCTTCAGCTGTGCTTGTTTTGTTGTGGCTTAGTTTGTATCTATTACCAACCATCGTCCTTTGACTTTGAATTTATTTCCATTCAGCTGGCAATGGCTTACTTTCTGTTTGCTGTCGACTGTGTGTTGCCTAGACGGGGGCCTCTTTGCACCTGCCCCACGATAATTGGCTGCACCAAAACTGCAATCAGAACTTGCACACCTTTTGGCATTGAGCATGATCCTGTGAAGATCATCACACATCATACCGTGCTTTGTTGCATTTTTGTGCCAACTCAAGCTTTGATGAATGGGTCAACTCAGGTTTCGAACCGGTTAGATGCAGCCTTGAACCATGGCTGTATTGCCAAAGTCCAATATATTATTCAAAGCCATCATTGCGAAAATGTGCCGTGTAATAATGATTTCTCATGTAAATTTCCCAATATTTGAGTGTGTCATGCCAAATGAACGCTTCGGGCCGCAGCTATTAACGTAAAACCCATTTACAATATTGTAATTTAACGTTAGGCTTGACTTATCAATAAATTGCTGAGCTATAAGTTTTATTATTGCGATGTGTGTATTAACTGCTTAAACACAAGATTATTGCCAGGCACAAAAAAAATATATATATTATAGATACAAATATATATATTCGTGGCCCATTTGTGCAACCTCAGGCCGCAGTCTCTGCAGCAATGAGGTAATTGGACAAGCGAGATTCCTTTCAGCGCATATTATTTCATGTTTTTTCAGCAGTACGCGGCGTATGAGTAATGCCTCACCATGTTTACGTACATGCATGTATATGTATGTGCGTGTGTGTGTTTGTTTGTGTGCAAGTGACGTCAACAATTGCTATTCACTTGGGTCTAGATATTTATTTATGCAGAGGCCTGTCGATTGAGCTAACATGGCTATATAAAGTGCGGCGTTTTGTTTGGGCCACATTTGTAAATTGCTATGCCAAGTGCGTCTGCCATAACCGACAAGGGGCAGTACGCCAAGGGGGGTGGCAACAACGCGAATGCGCCGTCAGCAGCTGCGGCTGTTGCACTTTTCATTTGCCACACAAAATTTGTGTGTTTTGCGGCCGTTGCAAAGAGTTGCCTCGTGCCGCCTGCTTACGTGTATGTGTGTCTGTGTGTGTGTGTGAGTGTGTTTGTTGTGTGTCTGTGTGTCTTTTCGTGTATGAGTGAATGTATTTGCTTGGTCCGCTTGTTGGTCTATCCTTGAACTTTGATTGCACTTTTGCACACAAATCCTATAATATTTACTTACTTTTCGCCTGAGCAATATTTGTACAGTGAAACCCCTCTTGGCTGACCGCCTTTACGCGGTCAAGTCTAATATATTTCCCACATTTTTTGAGCAACGCTTCATTTTTGTCAATAGACCTGTTTATTAGAGCAAGAAATATGAACAAAGCACAAAGCTTGAAATATTGATTAAAGAATTTATTGATATTCACTTTTAAGCATAGAAATCTCTAAAAATGCTCATTTTGTTTCATTTTCTCTGATATATGTCTATACATATCCATCTAGCAGGATAAGAGCTTTAGTTTAGCTTTTAAGCTGCGTTTGCGCTTGGGAATGTGCTTGGACAAATATTACTCATACGCCGCCTTGTACATTTGGGGCTTTGCATGTTTCGTGGCCCCAGGCACAAAATTAATATCGATTTGAGCTTATCTGCATTGATATGCGCTTGATTAGGTGCGATATCGTATCTTCTGCTGGGGCTCAAAGTCCGCGCTTATCGACGGAATCAGAAAAAGAACCAGAACCAAAAGCCCGAAGCCGAAAACGAGAACATCAAATTATAAACAACATGTAAATATGCCGCTCAAATGCTGACTGGCATTTTTATATGAGTGTGTGTGTGTGTTTTTTTTTTGTTTCTTTGGATTTTAGTTTATTAACCTCATTTTATTGCTGCTGTTCAGCTGGCCTTTTTTTCTTAACACATATGCAGGTGCGAGAGAGAGAGTGTGTGTGTGCGTGTATGCATAAATGTATTTAGTTTATTTTATATTTATCTGCATACATGATAAATGTCCAATCGCAATAATTATTGGGTTGAAAGGCGGCCGCCGGGCTTTAGTGTTTTATTTGGTTCACGGTTTAAATGACAAAATGAAAACAAGCGCTAAAATATAGTTTATACATAACTATATTATATATATTTTACATAATTGTAATTTTCTTTTTTGATTTTCTCATTGCAGCTCGACACCTTTTGCATTGCACTAGATGCATTAAACTACTGAGCAGCTCGGAACGAACCACCAATAAAAACAAGAACAACATCCACACACACACAAACACACGCACACACACACACACACACATAGCAACAAAATGGCCTTAATTATGAAATACATCGAGAGCATAAACAGATATATGGACTCACATAGTGGTAAGTTGGCATGTGCGACTAACACTTACATACCTCTCTATATATATACACACATCTATATATATATATATATATATATATATGTTTAGGCCTGCTAATTTGTGTAACCTTGATTGTTGTTGCTGTTGTTGTTGGTCTGTCTGTTGCTCTTCTTTCTCACATTTCTCTGCAAAACGGCAAAGGTTTAACAAATGATTGAGTAATTTTTGACACCAGCTCACTAATTGCCCGGAAAGAAGAGAGCGCGAGAGATACAAACAGCAGCTCTTGGTTTGGGCCAACAAATAATTAACTGATAATGAGAAATTTCAATGTCAGTCAACGTCTTGGCCAGAATCAAATACACCAGAGAGTTACTCTCTTCAAATTTATCCTTTATCAATCTATGCATATGGATAGACATACACATATACATATATATAAGTATATACATATTTGTATATATTCTGTATTTGCTGAATACATTATGCCACACATTGACCCCCCAACCCCCTTCGCAAGCCGTTTCTGACAAATGTTTAGCAATTTGAATGCGCTAAAATTATGTTTCAACATGACATAGATACGACAACGTATACCCAAACGATTTTAGATATACTTATATATAGCTGCCATAGCTGCTAGTTGTTTTCCTGTGCGTGTCGCCAGTCTCTCTTATTGTGTGTGTGCGTGTGTATGTGTTTGTATTGTGGTTATTTTAAGGGCACACGTGTAATATGACTTATTTGCGCGATATCGGAAGTAAAATAGCCATCAAATGCCGCCACTCTGCATGCCACAGAAAAGAAAAGCCAAAAAGACAGGCATTTATTATAATACAGCATTTCTAGAAAATATGGCTTGCAGGCAATCGAAAAGATGGCAATCAGCAAGAATTATTATTTTCAATAGGAGAGAGCATTTGTGTGGCGGAAGATGAAAAAGATACCCTTGCAGATATAAAGTATCTTTCGGATATACGAACTTGTATCTAAACTACAAATACTATGATATGATACAAATACAAATACAAAGATGTGTGATAGGAGTACCAAATAGTTTATTAAAATATCTTTGAGATACAAGTATTTGTAACTTGGTGCTCCACTAATATCCCCCAGCAATATCGTGCAGCAATGAGAGTTAGCAGAAAAGCTGTGAACCATATAAATAGGTTGCACAATCATAAAGATACCTTGGCTCTGTGTCTCTTAGTATATTATACTAGGTATATACACGACGATTGAAAAGATTACACGTGGCTGATTCTCCACATAAGATCATAAGATCAAAGTAATCAAACTATATGTAATATATTTATTGTTTGTACTCATTGGAACTGAAACTTTTCTTGTCATAAGACAAGATCAAGAATATGAATAATACATTGACTATACGCTTAGCTATGCTTATCGCAAATAGTCAGTTGGCCAAGTAGAGTACCTGCAACTAAAGAAAGATAACTTGAATTTATTTGAAGCATTTGCAGACACCTTCAAAAGGTGTATATTAGCCATAAATCGTGTATTGCCTAAATCAATGCATTCTGGCACTTTTATAAGAACTCTCGAGACTTTATGGCCAGACACAGTCGCAACTTGACAGCAAAAGCAAATCGAATACATTTTTAATCGAAGACTTGAGACCGAATACATGTAGTTTATAGTTTGACACTTTACGGCTCGGGTTTGGATTGGGCTCGAGCTGATTGCGATTAGCCAATGTGATAACCAGACCTGTTAGTCCGAAGTTTCGCAATCCATTTATATTTGATATTTGGGCAACAATTTCACTTGGCACATAGCTCTTCAATCAAGTTGGAAATCTTAATTAATATTCGTTTATTAATTTTTTATTTGGACTTTTTCTTTACGGTTTGTTAATCTATTCATCAAACTGCGTCAGTTGTGCGCAGCTCATCAATTTTTGATACTTTTATTATCTAGCCTTTGATTGTTTTTCCGCTATATTGAAATATTTGCCAACGCATATATTTAATTATTATTGATTTATTTATTTATTTTGCTGCTTTTGTTGAGTTTTTGCTTGGGCAATCGAAATTCGCGTGATTATTCGTCAGGTTGCATAAGTTATTCATGAGTTAAACACCCAGCTAAATTTACGCATTTTTATGACAATTATCGCTGAACTGAATGCCAAATGAAGCGAATGAAGAAATTCCAAAGCTGAAAAGATATATATGTGTATATATATAAATGCTAAGCATTTAAATAGTTGGACTTAAAATGTAATTGTTGTGCAGTCCATTAAACAGGATGAGCTGCACGTCTCATCATCATCATCATCATCATCAACATTCTCATTATCATTAGCATTGTCATTATCATTATCATTAGTATAGCTAATGATCGCCTTGGTGACATTGTCTCAAACATGAACGTGCCACAAATGAGGGCCAATGCCCAATGCTAATGATGTACAGATGATAAGAGCAATGTTAACTTGCTTGCTTTCTTATCTAATAGATACTATGTGTATGTGCGTAGTTAGTAAACAACAACAACAACAACAACAATAACATAAACAATGCTTCAGTCAATTCAAACATATGCCCTGTGCTTTGTTTTGATGCGTGTCGACCAACGAACCAGGTTTTACTCTTGGTTCGGATCTAGTTTCTACTAATACATTATTAATATATATAATATTGTTTTGTAACTCTTCTAATTGCACAGATTCAAGGACAAAGGACTGGCCCATGATGTCGTCACCCTTCCCCACACTCGCCGTGTGCCTCACATACGTCTACCTGGTTAAGGTAAGTCGCCCACTCTGCCGAACACGTGTTTGTTTTATGGCCTCTCGATTTGACCATATGGTTAGCCATCTAATACACAGATTTAGGTCATATCAACAAGACCAGCTGCGGCTACGTCTTAATCTCAAGTGCTATTCCCATGCGGAAAACGCACAACGTGGGCGTATCCACTGATAGCGTCCACAGTTTTGTGTTTTTTTTTTTTTTTTTGGGTTGAGCAAGCTTTATTTATGGCTTACTCACAGTCAAACGCACACATATACGCATTTCTAATCATAAGGCGTTTTTATAATAGACCAACCTAATCAGCGCGTTGATAAGAAACAGACAGCACAGTGAGTCAAGCGTTAAAAAAATTCCAGGAGTATTATTCGACGATAAATTAGGACTTAAGTTTGTGGAAATTCTATAAAAAGGTCTAGAAAAACAAGCAGTCGGCAGACAAATGCGTAATAACTAGAGAAGCATCGACTCAATGGGAGAAGTTAAAGCTAAATTCCTTATAAGGCAAACGAGCCCTAAAAACAATTATGGATAAACAGGTCTTTTATATAAACAGACTGAGGATGTCCATATTGAACATGTTTTTGAGTGCATATATTTACGCTGGTTGGGCTCACATTCAGAGTGTGGAAAACAGAGTATTCACATAAACAGTCAGCGGATGTCATGCCTTGAATGTTGATGCCATAAAATATAAATATAAATAACATAAAGAACTTCTTCAGGTCGGATCGGACTAGGCCAAAACGGAATGAACGCATACATCTTTTTAAGAATATTCCCACTTTGCAATGCTAAAATAAAGTCCTGTCTATAACAAACGAGTAAATCATAAAGCGCCGATGAAAACAATTGGTCAAGCATAATATTTCTTACTGTAAAATATGCAAACTATTTGCTGCAGAGAGATTAATCAGTATCTGATCCATCAAATTGTATAGGTTCTCTAGCAAAAGCTATCAGATATTGAGCTTTTGTTAAAAAAAAAAAAAAAACAAAGAAAACCCTAGGAAACAATGAAAATCAGTTAAAGAGTATTACATCTTCGGCTTCTCCGAAAGCAACTGACTTTGTTGTGCATCTCTATGACATAATCATTAAGCGATATTCTCTTGTTTTATATAACAGGTGCTTGGGCCGCGATTAATGGAGAATCGAAAGCCGTTACATCTACAGAACATGCTGGTCGTCTATAATGCGTTACAGGTTGTATTTAGCGCGTGGCTATTCTATGAGGTAAGTGGCACTCACACCAAACCAAATAACACGACCATCAACATCAACAACAATAAGAACAACAACAACAAGAACAACACCAACCACAACATCAATCAACAACAACAACAACAACAACATCGCTGGCGTCGTCGTTTTGGCTGCTTGCTTAACTGACCTGGAAAAGCGTTTAAAGGCAAACAACTTGCTGCTGGGAACTGCCAACTGCCAACTGCCAACTGCCAACTCCCAACTGCTACTGCCAACTGCTACTGCCAATAGGCAACTGCCTTAAGGCAATTGGCAATTGCTGCTGCTTTTAATGTGCACTTTATTTTATGTTTTTCTTATGTTCTCTCTATCTCATTTTCTTTGGCATTAATCTGATTTCGTTTTTAGTGTTTAATGGGCGGCTGGTGGGGTTCGTACAGCTTCCGCTGTCAGCCTGTGGACTATAGCGATAGTGCCACATCTAGGAGAGTAAGTGTCTCGTCTTTAAATGCCAATAAAAATCTATTTGACTGTGTGCAGCAGGAACGCGCTTAGCTCTTCAAGCGTGAAAGTGAAAGTGAAAAGCCTAGGGAAACTCGCGCCCATTTAGCAGACCCTGATTCATAGATTGTCTCCACAGAACGCAGTTATGAGCATACAACTAGGCATTCATATAAATTAATATATATATATATATATATATATATATATATGATATATATATTTTGGAATTAATAATTTAGCTTATGTATATGCAAACGCTTGAGGCACAGCCATATAAATATTTAAGATTAACCAGCATTGCTTTACATAATTTACAATATGTATATTATTATTTTGTTTTGATTTTTTGATTTCTGTAACCATTTTTAGCTTTTTATCAATTAATAAATGCGCCACATACAAAATACTACACGAGGCGAGCAAATGTGTAGCTGGTTTCTAATTAGACATAGAACTGCCCTGAACATATAGCTAAAGATATATACATATATATTAAATATATATATTCTATATACATCATTTGTTTTGTATATAAATGCTAGAAAACAATTGGTAATTAATTTGTGCAAAAAAAAAAGAAAAACAAAAAACAAAAGAAAAACAATGAAAAATATCGCTTACAACTATTTGATGCTTTATTAATTAATACCATTTAAACGCTGTCTACTAACCTGGCCAAAATGTATATGTACGTGTGTGTGTGTGACTGTCTGTTTGTGTGTGTGTCTGTGTGCAATTGGCTAAATATCAATATCAATGTGTGTCTGTGTATGTGTCTGCCATGCCTAATTCTTTACAGCCCACAAACTGGAAGCAGCTGAAACCGAACGCCAACGCAAACCGATGCCAGCCAAAAACTCAAAACAACATAAATCATTTCACAACTCATGCCACAATATCCAAATCGAAATCAAAATCAAAATCAATATAAAAAACAACAAAAAAAAAAAACAAAAAAACCGAAATTCGATAAATAAAAAACCAAAACAAAACAAACACACACACATTTTACACACTCTACATTTGCAGATAGGAGTTTCCGGTTGGCTAACTGGACATTATAGCTTCCGATGTCAGCCAGTTGACTATAGTAATAATCCTAGAACGTTAAGGGTATGTGTTAAACTGACAACGAGCCGTTAAATAACGATATTGATTTGCCTCTACTGATAACGATAAGCTATTGATAACGTATTGGTGCTGTGCTCTGGTCTGTGTGTGTGTGTGTGTGTGTGTGCGCGCGTGTGCATGAGGTGTGCTTTTGTACCTGAATATTGGTTCTGGGCTTATTATATAATGTACAAATAAATACCTCGATACTTACCTTACCATACACATGTACTCAATTCGGGTTAACAGTTGTGGGTCTCACAAGTGTTAAGGTAGCACCTGTACACTCATACACATAAGCAATAACTATCTACTACATAAGTACAACTAATGCTAACCCCTCTACCCCCTTCACCCTCCCCCCAACAAAAAAAAAAAAAAAAACCAAAAACAAAAACAGATCCTAACCCAGATCGCAGCATGTGTATGCCGTAACGCATAACTGTCAGCACTTAAATGTCCTTCAAATGTCACTAAACCGAGAAAGGAGACAAGTCTTGTCGCATTGTCGTTATCTCTTACAGAATATATAGAAAACTCTGGGGCCCCTTTCCCGGCCAACATTGAACACCCCTACCCAACCCACAAGTGGGAACTGTAAACAACTCTCTTTAAACTCTTATAAACCCGTTGTACCCCGGAATATGCATTAAACTCTATTTTATAAATGGCCAGGACTATGATATTTCAAATTTCAAAACCGTTAATCAATTAATTGAATGTGTTTCCCCCATTCTATACTATATCTTCTTGGACTATCTGCTGCATTTTGAAAAATAATATACTTCTAGTTAAAGTTTTGATTGAACTGGAACCGAAGCGTGTGCATGAATGTTTCAATTGAATTGAATTACAAAAAAATAATTTGATTATAATTTAATAACAATAAAAAACATAAATTGACTCCACAAATTGAGCGTGCGCATGAAACAGAAGCGACGGCAGCGCCGCCCTTGATGTATACCCTAATTGATGGCACGAATTTCGCCTGAAACCGAACTGAAATGGTCAAGAGCTGTTGTGCTGCTCAGTTAGGGTATCCAGAAGAGTGTGTGTGTGTGTGTGTCGAATATTTGTTTGCGATCCTCAAAAACAAGCCGAGCTAATCGAATATTTAATCTCTTCTCCGCGCCGCTGTCGCCTGCCCACTCAACAAATCAGATGGTTCACGCGTGCTGGTGGTATTACTTCTCAAAGTTCACAGAGTTCATGGATACGGTAAGTGTGACCATATCTGTCAGTTAATTGCCTTAGCACCCACACACGCGATACCCTTACAGATTTTCTTCGTGCTGCGCAAAAAGACGAGCCAGGTGACGACATTGCATGTCATACATCACGGCTGCATGCCCATGTCCGTGTGGTTCGGTGTCAAATTCACTCCAGGTGCGTTAACCAGGCACGGCTAAACGACCGTCAGATACCCTATAATATATGTCTATGCCTGCATTTAGGTGGCCACAGCACCTTCTTTGGCCTGCTCAATACATTCGTGCACATTGTGATGTACACGTACTACATGTTCTCGGCCATGGGTCCACAATACCAAAAGTACCTCTGGTGGAAGAAGTACCTGACAACGCTCCAAATGGTAAGCTCCTTGTAAACTATGCTGCTCAAACCGAATCGATAACTAGTCAGATAGAAATTGGAAAAGAAACTGAGATACAATCAAATATTTAGTATAATTTCTGGATAGAATATCTCTTGGCATATTTTCGCAATTTTATGTGTTTGATTAAATATTTTTATACCCTGAACCCATTAAAAATGTATGTAACAGGCAGAAGGAAGCATCTCCGACCCCATAAAGTATATGTATATATTCTTGATCAGCATCAATAGCCGAGTCGATCTAGCCATGTCCGTCTGTCTGTCCGTCCGTCCGTAAGAGCTACAGACTTGAAATTTTAGATGTAGGTGCTCCTAGTGCCTGCGCAGATCGAGTTTGTTTCCGATACTCGATAACTTACTCCGTTTCCAAGCAATCGATAAAAATCGATATCGATATCCTGTTGTTTGGGCAATTTTGGTAAATAATAAGAGCTAGAGTCACGAAACATGATATGTTGCTTCTAAAATATTATATTTTTGTCAAGTATCTTTCATTTTATACCTATCGCCACTTCTCGGCTACCACCCCAGAGCTATAAATCCAGTTAATAACCCAACTTTTATTGCCAACCAATTTGAGCCAAAATTTATTTGCAATTGACTTTTTCAGTATACACAAATATTCTTTGATACAATAAGATATACTGTAGAAGATTTCATAAAGATCGGTTAAAAAAAAAAACAAAGTTATATGCAACTGCGCAATTGAATAGAACAGCATCTTTAAGAATTTCTGTATACATGTACAAGCACACATTCATGCGCGTCTGCTTCGCATTTTAACAGCATGGTTATTGACACTTTTTTCTGTAATGCTATTTAAGTTTCTTTTTTTATTATAATCGACAAAATGGCAAGGGGTTACATCACGTTCTTTTTTTTTTCAAAATCGAGCTCGGTGCGAAAATGGAAACTTTTTCGATGATTTTTTTTTAATATCTCGGGTAATAGCTCCGCGCGGAGATATGACGTTCCAAAACAACATAACTCCGCGGAGATATGACGTTCCAAAACGAAATAATATCTCGGGTAATAGTTACGCGGGGAGATATGACGTTCCAAAACGACATAATATCGCGGGTAATAGCTCCGCGCGGAGATATGACATTCCAAAACGACATAACTCCGCGGAGATATGACGTTCCAAAACGACATAATATCTCGGGTAATAGCTTCGCGCGGAGATATGACGTTCTAAAACGACATAACTCCGCGGAGATATGACGTTCCAAAACAACATAACTCCGCGGAGATTTGACGTTCCAAAACAACATAACTCCGCGGAGATATGACTTCCAAAACGACATAACTCCGCGCGGAGATATGACTTCCAAAACGACATAACTCCGCGCGGAGATATGACGTTCCAAAACGACATAACTCCGCGCGGAGATATGACGTTCCAAAACGACATAATATCTCGGGTAATAGCTCCGCGCGGAGATATGACGTTCTAAAACGACATAACTCCGCGGAGATATGACGTTCCAAAACAACATAACTCCTCGGAGATATGACGTTCAAAAACAACATAACTCCGCGGAGATATGACGTTCCAAAACGACATAACTCCGCGCGGATATATCACGTTCCAAAACGACATAATATCTCGGGTAATAGCTCCGCGCGGAGATATGACGTTCTAAAACGACGTAACTCCGCGGAGATATGACGTTCCAAAACAACATAACTCCGCGGAGATATGACGTTCCAAAACAACATAACTCCGCGGAGATATGACGTTCCAAACCGACATAACTCCGCGCGGAGATATGACGTTCCAAAACGACATAATATCTCGGGTAATAGCTCCGCGCGGAGATATGACGTTCTAAAACGACATAACTCCGCGGAGATATGACGTTCCAAAACGACATAATATCTCGGGTAATAGTTACGCGGGGAGATATGACGTTCCAAAACGACATAATATCTCGGGTAATAGCTCCGCGCGGAGATATGACGTTCCAAAACAACATAACTCCGCGGAGATATGACGTTCCAAAACGACATAACTCCGCGCGGAGATATGACGTTCCAAAACGACATAACTCCGCGCGGAGATATGACGTTCCAAAACGACATAATATCTCGGGTAATAGCTCCGCGCGGAGATATCACGTTCCAAAACGACATAACTCCGCGGAGATATGACGTTCCAAGACGACATAATATCTTGGGTAATAGTTACGCGGGGAGATATGACGTTCCAAAACGACATAATATCTCGGGTAATAGCTCCGCGCGGATATATGACGTTCCAAAACGACATAACTCCACGGAGATATGACGTTCCAAGACGACATAATATCTTGGGTAATAGTTACGCGGGGAGATATGACGTTCCAAAACGACATAATATCTCGGGTAATAGCTCCGCGCGGAGATATGACGTTCCAAAACGACATAATATCTCGGGTAATAGTTACGCGGTGAGATATGACGTTCCAAAACGACATAATATCTCGGGTAATAGCTCCGCGCGGAGATATGACGTTCCAAAACAACATAACTCCGCGGAGATATGACGTTCCAAAACGACATAACTCCGCGCGGAGATATGACGTTCCAAAACGACATAACTCCGCGCGGAGATATGACGTTCCAAAACGACATAATATCTCGGGTAATAGCTCCGCGCGGAGATATCACGTTCCAAAAAGACATAACTCCGCGGAGATATGACGTTCCAAGACGACATAATATCTTGGGTAATAGTTACGCGGGGAGATATGACGTTCCAAAACGACATAATATCTCGGGTAATAGCTCCGCGCGGAGATATGACGTTCCAAAACGACATAATATCTCGGGTAATAGTTACGCGGTGAGATATGACGTTCCAAAACGACATAATATCTCGGGTAATAGCTCCGCGCGGAGATATGACGTTCCAAAACGACATAATATCTCGGGTAATAGTTACGCGGTGAGATATGACGTTCCAAAACGACATAATATCTCGGGTAATAGCTCCGCGCGGATATATGACGTTCCAAAACGACATAATATCTCGGGTAATAGCTCCGCGCGGAGATATGACGTTCCAAAACGACACAACTCCGCGGAGATATGACGTTCCAAAACGACATAATATCTCGGGTAATAGTTACGCGGGGAGATATGACGTTCCAAAACGACATAACTCCGCGGAGATATGACGTTCCAAAACGACATAATGTCTCGGGTAATATCTCCGCGCGGAGATATGACGTTCCAAAACGACATAACTCCGCGGAGATATAACGTTCCAGACCGACATAATATCTCGGGTAATAGCTCCGCGCGGAGATATGACGTTCCAAAACGACATAATATCTTGGGTAATAGTTACGCAGGGAGATATGACGTTCCAAAACGACATAACTCCGCGGAGATATGACGTTCCAAAACGACATAATATCTCGGGTAATAGCTCCGCGCGGAGATATGACGTTCCAAAACGACATAATATCTCGGGTAATAGTTACGCGGGGAGATATGACGTTCCAAAACGACATAACTCCGCGGAGATATGACGTTCCAAAACGACATAATATCTCGGGTAATGGCTCTGCGTGGAGATATGACGTTCCAAAACGACATAACTCCACGGAGATATGACGTTCCAAAACGACATAATATCTCGGGTAATAGCTCCGCGCGGAGATATCACGTTCCAAAACGACATAACTTCGCGGAGATATGACGTTCCAAGACGACATAATATCTTGGGTAATAGTTACGCGGGGAGATATGACGTTCCAAAACGACATAATATCTCGGGTAATAGCTCCGCGCGGATATATGACGTTCCAAAACGACATAACTCCGCGGAGATATGACGTTCCAAAACGACATAATATCTCGGGTAATGGCTCTGCGTGGAGATATGACGTTCCAAAACGACATAACTCCACGGAGATATGACGTTCCAAAACGACATAATATCTCGGGTAATAGCTCCGCGCGGATATATGACGTTCCAAAACGACATAACTCCGCGGAGATATGACGTTCCAAAACGACATAATATCTCGGGTAATGGCTCTGCGTGGAGATATGACGTTCCAAAACGACATAACTCCACGGAGATATGACGTTCCAAAACGACATAATATCTCGGGTAATAGCTCCGCGCGGAGATATCACGTTCCAAAACGACATAACTTCGCGGAGATATGACGTTCCAAGACGACATAATATCTTGGGTAATAGTTACGCGGGGAGATATGACGTTCCAAAACGACATAATATCTCGGGTAATAGCTCCGCGCGGAGATATGACGTTCCAAAACGACATAATATCTCGGGTAATAGTTACGCGGTGAGATATGACGTTCCAAAACGACATAATATCTCGGGTAATAGCTCCGCGCGGAGATATGACGTTCCAAAACAACATAACTCCGCGGAGATATGACGTTCCAAAACGACATAATATCTCGGGTAATAGTTGCGCGGGGAGATATGACGTTCCAAAACGACATAATATCTCGGGTAATAGCACCGCGCGGATATATGACGTTCCAAAACGACATAATATCTCGGGTAATAGCTCCGCGCGGAGATATGACGTTCCAAAACGACACAACTCCGCGGAGATATGACGTTCCAAAACGACATAATATCTCGGGTAATAGTTACGCGGGGAGATATGACGTTCCAAAACGACATAACTCCGCGGAGATATGACGTTCCAAAACGACATAATATCTCGGGTAATAGCTCCGCCCGGAGATATGACGTTCCAAAACGACATAACTCCGCGGAGATATGACGTTCCAAAACGACATAATATCTCGGGTAATAGTTACGCGGGGAGATATGACGTTCCAAAACGACATAATGTCTCGGGTAATATCTCCGCGCGGAGATATGACGTTCCAAAACGACATAACTCCGCGGAGATATAACGTTCCAGACCGACATAATATCTCGGGTAATAGCTCCGCGCGGAGATATGACGTTCCAAAACGACATAATATCTCGGGTAAT